TGCCACGTTTTGATTTAAGTTTAAGCTTCCACAAATGAGGATAAATATCTTCCAGATGATGCACTTCACCAGTACATAAAAAGAGGAAGAAACTCGTAAAAATAGGTGCTAGTAGTATGTCGCTATGAATTAAGTAGCTATATAAGTAATCAGAGTTTTCGGATAGTACAAGTGGTTTTAGCACAGTAAAGGCAAGCGAAATGTATTTCATTATTATTTTGTATATGAGTGTATCAGAGCAGCACTAATAGAACGGTAGTGGACTCGCATGATACGCGCGTTTACCACAGATAAACATCGCATCAAGCAAGCGGAAAAGACCAGTGTCGCGTGGCCGCTCTAATCCACGACGCATTCGTCGCCGCATAACGGCTACCATTTCGTTATTTGACAACTGACCGTCCTCAAAGGGCAAATTTATAATATTCTGGCGTTAAATTTAAAAAAAAAAAACTTACCATATTATCATCAAAGAGCGTGATAACTACATCAATTACGTGGTCACTTAATTCGACCCCAGCCACTTTCCAAGCTACTCTGAACGACCTGCCTAAGAAAATGCATTGTAACGAAGCGGTCACACCTCTTAAATAATTGTGCATCAATGGGCAGACCGGCCATACGATGGAAATGCAAAGCCATATCAACATCCTCGATGTGGTAGAGAAATTGAAAAAAACCGCGAGTCTGTAAGGTGTCCATTAATTGCTGCAAAGACTGGATTGTGTTCATTTCGGCGTCTACCTCCTCAAAGGTGATTCCTTTTTGGTGCTCCTTAAACTTCCTCCTAACCCTTTTTAGCATTATTTTCTGCCTCTTGTCTGGTATTTGTGCGTGCATCAACAACAGTTGTGCAAAACTTTCTTCAGATATAAGACCGTCAACACCATCCAGGGCGTCTCTTCTCTCGAATTCCATTCGTAAAATATCATTGTACAAGCTTTTCTGAATCGCAACACTTGGTACTTGAATGCAATATAAGATGAACAGAAAACATACTTGAAATTCTAAAAACTTTGTCGCAGAAAGCGTCTTTGTACCATCTATACCAAAGAAATAGCGCTCAAGGGCAGAATTTGATTCAACTCGGAAGGACGAGTTAGGGGTGATGTGGTCACGGTGGCGTTGTCCCACAGTGGTTTGCGACATTATGAGATGCTTAAAATCTAAGTAGTAACTA